TCACCCCAAAAAGGCCATTGAATGACTCGAGCGTGGCCAGAGAAGGGCAACGGAGCTGGGGCAGGGTCTGGAGCACAGGTCTGCTGGGGAGCGGCTGGGGGAACTGGGGGGGTTCAGTCTGGAGAAGAGGAGGCTGAGGGGAGACCTCCTGGCCCTCGGCAACTCCCTGCCAGGAGGGGGCAGAGAGGGGGGATGAGTCTCTGGAGCCAAGGCCCCAGCGCCAGGCCCCGAGGGAATGGCCTCAAGCTGCCCAGGGCAGGGTCAGGCTGGCTCTGAGGAAGGATTTCTGTGCAGAAGGGGCTGTTGGGCGTTGGAATGGGCTGCCCAGGGCAGGGGGGGAGTCCCCAGGATCCCTGGAGGGGTTGAAGAGTCGGGCTGAGCCAGCGCTGAGGGATCTGGGGGAGTTGAGAAGGGTCAGGGGGAGGGTCACGGTCGGGCTGGAGGAGCTTCAGGGGCTTTTCCAACCGAGACAATTCTGTGATTCTGTGAAAATCACCCCTTTGAAAGCGAGCAGCACCTTTAGATATATTTTCAAATCCAGAGATAAACTTGGTTCGCTGATGGCAGATGGTTGAGTCACTTTCTCTAAAGCAAAGTTGCGGCATCTCCTGAACTCAGAGTTCAAACCACCCTCAGTGGCTCGGCTCAGCTATGCCTGTAGCGTGTCGTTAGTGGGTATCGTGCAGGATGGTCCTGCAGGAAGGTGAATTTTCACTGTGAGTTCTGTTTTTGACCCTTTGTACTTGGAAGATTTACAGTCCCGATTGCGGCAGCGGATTAACGTGGCATGGTGTGGTTTTGGTGGAAGAGAGGGTTATTATGTGAAGTGTTGTTTCTCTCGTATCCTGCAGTGAGATTTCTTTCTCCTGCACACACAAACATGCACTCCAGCCAGTTATTCTAGCAAAGCCAGGCTTTAAAGGCTGGTAAATGTTTAATGACAGGGGCTGCTTTGTACATGCCGGCCTCCACCCTGGTTTCTTTTGCTGCTGGTGGGGGTTTTTCTACAATCCTTCCACCTTTCTTATGGCCTTCAAAATACCTGTTCAAAACCAGAAAGCTGCTTAACCTGTGGTTGAACCCCTCAGCTGTGTCCTTGTGAGAAGTTGCCCTTTTCCGTGCTGCCCAGCAAAGCCCAAACCTGTGGATGCACCCAACTGGGTCTTCTCAAAGCTCCCCAACTTGGTCTTCTCAAGCGACCAGCTGAGCTGAACAGAATCAGGCCAGTGATGGTTCCAGCACCCTCTCAGCAATCCCCCTCCATCAGTTTGCTGCCCAGAGAGCTGGATTTGTGCTCGCTCTGCTCCCGACGTTTGGAGCAGCCTTTTGTACAGACAAATCCCAGAATCATTCAGGTCAGAAAAGCCCCTCGGGATCATCGAGTCCAACCCTCAGCCCGACTCTACAAAGTTCTCCCCTACCCCACATCCCCCAAAAATGTGTTAATTTGACGCGAGATGGTTTTTTATTTTTTTTTTTGTTGATCCTCTCCAGGAGAAGCATGAAGAGGAAGGCCATGTTCACGTGCCCGTTCAACGGCGACTGCAAAATCACCAAGGACAACCGGCGGCACTGCCAGGCCTGTCGGCTGAAGCGCTGCGTGGACATTGGCATGATGAAGGAGTGTGAGTACACGGACGTGTGGGGAACGGCCCGGCTTTGCCCCGTCACCTCCTTTTCCTTCTCGATGTTAATCTCGATTAACGGGTGGTGCGGAAGGCGGGCAGGCGGGCGTAAAACCTGAAAACCCTCCAAGGATTCAAAGAGGATGCAAAGGGCAGGGGATGCGGTAGGTAATGATTGAGAGGAGCTCGTTTAATGATTAAGGCTGCTCCTGGGGTGGTTAGTGATGTGGGGGGCTGATTTTAGCAGAGCCAAGTCTCCTCTGCTGGCTCCTGGGGGGCACCAGCTGAGCGAGAGCATCCGGGGCTGTTTCTGATTAACTCCTGCTTACACCGACTGAACGTGCTCCTCTCCTGCCTTCACAAAGTCATCGTCCTCTCCGTGTTTTTGCGTGCCCCTCGCCGCATCCAAACAGGGAGAGTTGAATGAGCTTCCCCACAGCGACAGTAATTTCCATTAGCCTGGAACCACCTTGCGTTTCGCTCCGCCGTACCTCTTGGGCTTCTTTTTTTTTTTTTATTTTTTTATTTTTTGGGCCTTTATTCTTGTAACATGGGTCTGTCCATCCAGCCACGTGCACAGCAGAGACTTAAGTAAATAGCAGAGGGAAGTAAAGTCGTTTTTAACCCAATCCAAACACACTAATGTTGTCCAAATATTTATTTTCTTCAATTATATTTATAGATAAGCAGCTTTTAAAAATAAAATGGTTGACACGCTTCCTCCTACGTACAGATGCTTTCCACACCTTAAGTCTTTAGGAGAAGGCTGGTGTTCGTGTAACGTTCAAACCAAAATAACAGCCTTCTGCTAGGAGACATTGCAAACAGGATGTCACGTCGAATGATTGATGGGCCTGAAAATTTGGAAAATGGAAGTGGTGCTCATTTCCTTGACGCGGCGAGCGGAGGGCAAACAGTATCTGATGTCACAGGGTGCCACCAAAGCACCCGGCTCCTCCAGAAAATCAAAACTTGTAGGCGTTTGCAGGAAAAAAAAATGCCTAAATTTCCAATTGTCCCCAAGCTTGAGTGGATCCCCCGTGAAGAGAAGATTCCTGCATCTTATTCTTTTAAACTAGCAGCCACGTCCTGTGAAGAGGGAGAAAAAAACCATATAATACACCAAATATACTCGTGTTTTGGGTGAGTGTGAGGATGTGTGAGCCCGTGGTGGCTGGTTGCTGTGGCCCTTTTGGTGTAGCTGTTGCTACTGAGGGAAATGTGTTGACTTGCACTAATTAATTACCCAGGAAAGGCCGGAAAAATCAGTGGCAGCGATGCACAGAGTACTTGCACCCTGCTGGGGCCAGGTCCCAGGGATGTGTGTGCTCTCTGCAGGAGTTAACTTGTAAGTGACCTCGTTAGTAAACTGTTACTAGATTAACAAAACCTAAGGAGACTAAAAATAGCCTTCCTGTGGACTTTGCTGCTGGTTAAATGAAGGGGAACAAGGTGTGCTGCTGTTATTTTTAGGTTGAATCGAGGATCTTGAAGCTCTTGAGGAGGGTTTGAGTCTTTCCCAGGCTGTCACTGAAGGTGATGGGGATTGTCACAGGCAAGGCTCTGGCCAGTTTGGCCCTGCTGCTGCCGGGATCTGAGTCTGAAGAAGAAAAGAGAGTGTGAGCAAGGGGTAAAGAGGAGGAGGAAGGGGACAGACCTTGTGCCTGTGTTAGTTTGGGGTTTGGTGCAGGCAGACCCTTCTCCATCCCCAGAGTGTGGGCTGGTCGGTGGCCTGGATGATTTTAGACATCACCTCCAGCCCAGACCACGCAGGGCTGAGACCTGCAGCAGCGTGGCCGTGCCGAGGGTCCCTTCCCCGACGCGTGCTCCAAGTTTGGGTGCAGCCACACCTGGGGAGCAGATGCTGCGGTGATGGGCTGGAGGAGTCTGTGCCTGTGGGGGAGACGCAGCGAGGAAAGGATCGTGTGTGTTCAAACTCTGCCCGAGCAAAAGCCCTGAGCCACCAGCACTCCCCAGGGAGCTGGGGACAGCGTCAGGGCGGCCACTGTCCCCTGCAGAGGGACCAAAGAGAGGGTGAGGTGGAAGCTGGAGGGCATCCAGGTTACGGCCATAAGGCTGGGGCAGGATTTATGGCCCAGCCACAACGCCTGAGTTCACCCCAAGCTGTCCGCAGCCAACGTTAGCAAATATTTGTGGTTTTCCGCCTGCTTATCTGCGCGGGGTAAAGCGCAGGGCAGGCGCGCAGGCTGTGGGGCAGGCGATCGGAGGAGGAGAAACCCACCTCGCAGCCCGAGCCGTGGTGTCTGGGAACGCTCCTTTCACTGCTCTGGGGAGCAGTTTCCCTTCAGATGCCTCTGGGGAGGGCAAGTCTCCCTCCTGCCACCCTGTCCGCTCCCTGCTGCTCTCTCCTAAGATGATGCTTAGCACAAAAGTACTTTAAAGTGGGGTAAAGAATCTGTTGCTGGACTATCCTGCCTGCTTTGGCACTGGTTTTGGTGGCAAGAAAATGCTGAAGTTACCCTTCCTACCCTGCAAAATTTGCTTTTTGCCTGGAGCTCAGGAGGGAACGTGTGTGTCGGCCAAAACACGGGCTGTTAGATGGACTCAGGCTCCACAGCCGCGCGTAACCTTTGGGTGATTCACTTCTCTTAGTGTCTCTGCTCCTTTCCCCCTGACCTTTAGCAGCTTCTCCAGTGTCTGTGAGATGGGGAACAGGTCATCTGTCCTGCTCAGTCTCAAGGTGATGCTGCGAGGCAGGAAGATAAATTATACATCACCAAATTGAGCGGCCGGAGGGACCCGCGGGCTCCCCAAGGCTGCAGCACTCTTACGGCATTGAATTTATCCTCTCCCTGCCACTTTATTTGCTGCTGGGGAATTTTTTGTGTGCTTGTTGTGGTGCCAGTTAGTTGGGAATGAGTGAATCTCCTTGGGAGGATCCCCAGCCATGTCCTGAGGCAGTTTGTCTCTCTGTAGCTTTGGCCCTCGGGGAAGGCGCTTGCAGCAAGTCCTCCTCCCTGGTGCCACAGCAAGGTTAGTGGTTTGCCTGGGGTCAGCGCCCCATGGATCTTCTCTCCCCTTTTCCAAGGAAAAGCCTCGCTGGGATCTGGTCCTAGTCACGAGCAGCTGATGCTCAGCATCCTCACCCTCACCACGAGGCTCCCTTTATGATCTCAGTGCTGAAAATCCCCAAAGGGGAGGAGAAAAAGAAACAAACTGACGTCTCAGAGCCAGGGAGAGGAGCAGAAACTGGAAGGAGATTGTGCAGAGAGAGGGGAATTTCCCAGATCAGTCAGGAGAGGAGCAGAGATGCTCGGGGGAGCCGGCAGGATTTCGCTTGTTTAGGGTGGGACTGCAGGATGAGAGTGAGCAAGGAGGGAGGTGGCCTTCCCAGCTCTCCTCCGCTTCCCCGAATAGGCGGCGATACTCCAAGGAAAAAAAAAAAAAAAAGTCCCCACTGCCCCAAACGTGGGATGTGTTCCCTGGCCTGGGAGCTGCTGCCACAGCGGGGTTGTGCAATGGTGAGAGGCGAAGCAGGAGCACGAGAGGGAGGGAAGAGTTGTGCCCGTCCGGGAAAACGTCACTTGGCGGTGGCCCGGCGTTCGCAGGCTGGCCGGGAAGCGTCTGCGCTCCCCGCCGGCTCAAAGCACACGCTATAAACATCCAGCATCCTCTGTAATTAGAGCAGGTTTGGGAGCTGGCAGGGGCTGAGCAGCTGGAAGGCCCTCTCCGAAATCTGTGTGAGCGTCGCTTGAGTGAGCCGTGCCTCAGCTGCGTCGGAGGGACACGACCTCCTTGGCGGGGGGGAGCAGTAGCCGGCGGCCCTGCAGCTGCTCCGGCATGGGTCCAGGACCTGTGATTTAAATTGCTGCTGCTTCTCAGAGTCACAGAACCGTTCAGGTTGGAAAAGCCCCTCAGGATCATCGAGTCCAACCCTCAGCCCGACTCTACAAAGTTCCCCCCTACCCCACATCCCCCACAGCTCATCCCAACGGCCCTGAAACCCCCCCAGGGATGGGGACTCCCCCCTCCCTGGGCAGCCTGTTCCACTCTGACCACTTGCTAGGAAACATTTTCTCCTCCTGCCCAGCCTGACCCTCCCCTGGGGCAGTTTCCAGCCGTTCCCTCTTGTCCTGTCCCTGATCCCCTGGGAGCAGAGCCCAGCCCCAGCCTCTCCACAACGTCCTGTCAGGAGCTGCAGAGAGGGATGAGGGCTCCCCTCAGCCTCCTCCTCCTCACACTGAACACCCCCAGCTCCTTCCCTGGCTCCTCACAGGATTTATTCTCCACCCCTTCCCCAGCCTCGTTGCCCTCCTCTGCCCTTGCTCCAGCCCCTCCAGATCTCTCTCGGACTGAGGTGCCCAAATTCCCTCCTCTCTGGTTTCCCTGCAAGCCCACGGGCTGTAGGAGATGTACACCCTCCGTCCAGCCTGCAGCATCCCGTTAGCCACCCTCCAGCCATCGCAGCGTTTCAGTTCCTGTTGTGCAATTGGGGGTTTTTGTGTCCGTGCCACTCCTTGGTCCATCCCCGTCAGCTATGTGGCCGATTACACCTGCAAGGGATTTGGCTCTGACTTCCAGTCCTGAGGCGTCACAGGCAGGGTTTGGGGCAGGTCAGCGGGGCTGAAAGGGATGTTCTGGGGGGAAGCAGCAGGCATGAATTCAGTTTTGCTCCCCAGCTTTCAAGGCTGTGTCCGGGGTCTTTCCTACATGAACTGCCACAACAGCCCCCAGCAGGGCTACAGGCCTGGGGAGGAGTGGCTGGAGAGCTGCAGGTCAGAGAGGGACTGGGGGGGTGAGAATGAGCCAGCAGTGTGCCCAGGGGGCCAAGGAGGGCAACGGCATCCTGGCTTGTGCCAGCCCTGGCGTGGCCAGCAGGGACAGGGAAGGGATCTGAGCCCTGGGCTCGGCACTGGGGAGGCCGCCCCTCGCTGAGGGGGTTCAGTTCTGGGCCCCTCACCCCAAAAAGGCCATTGAATGACTCGAGCGTGGCCAGAGAAGGGCAACGGAGCTGGGGCAGGGTCTGGAGCACAGGTCTGCTGGGGAGCGGCTGGGGGAACTGGGGGGGTTCAGTCTGGAGAAGAGGAGGCTGAGGGGAGACCTCCTGGCCCTCGGCAACTCCCTGCCAGGAGGGGGCAGAGACGGGGGATGAGTCTCTGGAGCCAAGGCCCCAGCGCCAGGCCCCGAGGGAATGGCCTCAAGCTGCCCAGGGCAGGGTCAGGCTGGCTCTGAGGAAGGATTTCTGTGCAGAAGGGGCTGTTGGGCGTTGGAATGGGCTGCCCAGGGCAGGGGGGAAGTCCCCGGGATCCCTGGGGGGGTTGAAGAGTCGATGATTCTGTGATTCTGTGAGCTGATCCAGAGCCATCCTGGGGATCCTCAGCAGCTAAACGGTCCCAGCACCCCGTGGGGCAGCTCAGGGGATGGTTCCTGAGCTTGATGCATCACCTTGGTGCTGTGCCTTCACCCTACTACACTGCTTTTGCTGCTTGGCCCTCATCTAGCCATGAATCACCCCAAAGCTGATGCTGTTGAGGGGTGTTTTTGTCCCCAGCCAGGGAACACCAGCTCAGTTTCTGACCCCCACCACCGTCCCAGCAAGATCCCAAATGCCACCCCACCACGACAGCCGTGCCAGGCAGCCTGTCCCAGGGTGGAGGAGCAACACCCCGGCATTTTGCACCCCTGGGGCTGAGCAGTGCCCCTGGCTCCAGCCGGAGCAGGCAGAAGCACCCACCGTTCAAAGAAACGCTCAAACTCCATCCAGTTTCATGCCTGACGTTTCCTAAACTTAATTTTTGCTTTACATTTGGCTGTTCTTTCCTCGCCTGACGGAGTGAGCCTGCCTTTGTGCTGCTCCACATCATCCTCCAGCCCTTCCAAGCCCCTGGTTTTGGCCAGGGTTGTATCCTCCTCTACCCTCGGTGTCGGCCGTGGCTTCCCCCGCTGCCCTCGTGGTGTCTGGCAAAGGGGGCCAGCGTCTGTCTGGAAGCGATGGGCAGATGTTATCTCAGGCTCTGGGTCAGGGCAGCCCACAAACACTCCGGCACGTCGCCGGTTGTGCCAGAAGTCTGCGGCTGGACGTCTCCAGCTCAGGGTTTGGAAAGAAATCAGAGCTGAAGCGTGAGCTGGGATCTCAAGTGGAAGGTGCCAGCATCGAGCTGCTTCCCGGTGCCGTTTCCCACCTCGAGGCAGGCAGGGACGTGATGGGCAACATCCATCCTTCTGTGAGGAAAAATGAGGGTCAAATCCTTTCCCCCCAGGACTTTAGGTGAGTCTCTGAGCTGACAGCCCTCATCCATGTTACCCCCCCATCCTACGGAAAAGCCGTCCCAGGCGAGGGGCGTTTCAGGTTTGCTGCTGCCCATCATCACCAGGAACAATTTCACCCAAGAGGCTGGGGGTGGTTCTCAATCCACAGCACCGATGCTGCTGGGCTGTGTCGTGGCTGTGTCACAGCACTCCCCTTCACAACACCAGACAAGCTGGAAGGGAATCGTTATTCCCCTTTATCTGATTTTTTTTTTTTTAAAAAACACCCTTTGATTTGCCTGCGGGGGCTTCCTTTGGGTTTTACTCTCCTGTGGCCTCCAGCAAGTCCTCGCAGAGCATTAAACACCAAACCTGGGACCTGGTGCTGGCTGGGGCCCATTTCTGTCGACGCCACTGGCAGTTTGGCCGTGGATTCCCAGCAGCGTGTGGCCCATGTGCTCTGCCGAGCCTCGGGGCAGCCCTGGGACATGGGATGTTTTGTTGCATCGACCCTGTGTGGGGAAATCTGGCTGCCTTAGGACCTGAAGCACAAACTTTGCCAGTGTTTGTTCCCCTGCCGAAGCGATGCTTTGGGAAATGCTTTTGCTTTTCAGCTCCTACCACCGTGAGAAACGCTGCTGCCTCGCTGCTTCAAGTCTGGGTGGATTTCCAAAAGCTGGCTGAGACATCCCAAGGCACTTTTGCCCCAACACAGAAACATCCTTTTCTTTCCAGCCCGCTCTGTGGGTGCTTCCTAATTTCGCATCAATTCACTTGCAGGATCTGAGGTTTTCTCGGTGTAGACACCTACAGTAACCCCTTCCAAAGCCCCAGGGTTCGGGACAGACCGTGCCGGCAAAGACTTTGAACACCACAGCCGCAGCCCAAGCACTCAGCTCTTTGCCCCATCCTCATTCCCAGACCCACATGGCTCTTTCCCCACGGATGCTGCCTCATCTGTGAACAGTTTCCCTTCTCGCACGCAGCGCCCAGATGGATCCACAGCTTTTGTAAAAAGAACCAGGTTGGGAGATGGCAAAATCCCCATTTTTCTCCCCAAGCAGTCGTGTTGTCCCCTGCAGAGCCATAACGTGCTGATCATGAGAGCGACCTTTCGGCCCCAGCCGGTTGTTCCCGTGCCTCCGAGATCTTCAAGTCCCCTCTGAGATTGTGCAAGTTTGAAAACATATTGGAAAAATGCCGTCGGCTAAAGGTGGCAGAAAGGAGCAGGGAACTGCAAACAGTTCCTTGCCTCGAGCCCTGCGACCCGGGCTCCCGCTGCCCTTCGCCGACCTCTCGTCCCAAATTCCACCTCAAATTGCCCAGCATCCAATCCCTCTGCAACCCAAGGCAGGCAGAAAGCCACCTCGTCATCAGATAACGTGCTTGAGGTTTTCTTTAATGACTGGTTAAAGGGCTAATAACATCTTGAGGAATGGGCCCTGCTATTTTTAGGGCCGCTGGTGGATGTGTATTAACAAGTACTTTTGTGAACGTGTGTCTCTGTTAGGAGGATGGGGTGTTGCTGCCCCAAGAGATTGTTGCGGGTCCTTGTTTTCTTCTCTTTCAACCCTGTGAGGCTATTCAGGGCTTTAAACTCCTTTTAAAAAAGTAAGATTTGAGCCCAAATTGCCTGTGGATGCTCTCCTTCCATAAATCAATGGGAGAAGCCTTGCGTATGGCCTTTGAGTCCAGCCCTTGGCCGCTGCCGAAGGCTGTCACCCATAATACAAGCTGTAAACACCCAGCTCTGGGAGTGGGGCTATGTTTATATGTCCCCTTACCTTAAAAATATTTGCTGTGCTGCCAGAGGACTGCGGGATACCCGGAGGCTGAGCGGTGCCGCGTCGGGCTCCCTCTGTTGTCGAGCGCTGCTGACAACAGCGCTGAAGTGAGATGAACCCACTGGCCTGGGTCTTGCAGGATCGATTTCTTTCACCTGAAAGCACAGAGCAAACACATGGCAGCGCTGACGGGACCTTATTGCACTCAGTCCTTGCCTAAAAGCACCCGAGTGGGCTGTAAATTGTGTCGGTCTCGTAGCAAAACGCCGTGACCTGGCAGTGGAGGAGAGGAGCAGGACGGGGTTGATGCAGGTTTAATAACTGATTAGCAGGGGGATGGGGATGCTGGTTGCAGTGTTCTGGGGTTGCTTCAATCCCTGTTTCACCTCTTTCTGGCACTTTCCCTGTCCCTGCAGTCATCCTGACAGACGAGGAGGTTCAGAGGAAGCGCGAGATGATACTGAAGCGCAAGGAGGAGGAGGCGCTCAAGGAGAGCCTGAAGCCCAAACTCTCGGAGGAGCAGCAGAAAGTCATCGACATCCTCCTCGAGGCTCATCGCAAAACCTACGACCCCACGTACTCCGACTTCACCAAGTTTCGGGTATGTCTGGGGCATGCCAGCCCCGATTCCCACACACGGGACCAAAGCGGTTCCTGCCCAGATGCTCCAAACCCGCTTCATCCCACGACTTCTCCTTAGTGAGGAGTTAAAAATCCCAGTGTAAAAACCTTGATGGTGTTGGCAGCAGGCGAACGGCTGCCACCGACTTGCTCTCCCAGCCCCGTTCCTCACATCTTGCTCTTTCTTCCAGCCCCCTGTGAGAAACAACCCTAGCAACAGAGGAGCAGCAAGATCCTCCTCCCTCCTCACCCAGGACTTGTCCTCAGAGGACTCCACCGACCTCTTCAGCTCCGATGCCTTCAGCACGTTTCCAGGTACCACACTCTCCTCTCCGTAAGCGACAGGGGTAGAATCAAAACAGTTTTACCTAAATCTGGCCATTCAAACCCTCGTTTTACCTCTTCTGGGGAGCTTATTTAACTGTAAGACCCTCCTGGAGGTGTTGCAAAGGCTTTTTGTGAGCAAAAAGCATTAAATGCTTGGTTGGATCGTGGCCCTGCAGACCTCTATGTGTCTGAGCCCTCCAGGATGGCCAAGGGGAGTGTGTTAGACCTGCTCTGAGGAAGGATTTCTGTGCAGAAGGGGCTGTTGGGCGTTGGAATGGGCTGCCCAGGGCAGGGGGGGAGTCCCCATCCCTGGAGGGGTTGAAGAGTCGGGCTGAGCCAGCGCTGAGGGATCTGGGGGGGTTGGGAAGGGTCAGGGGGAGGGTCATGGTCGAGCTGGAGGAGCTTCAGGGGCTTTTCCAACCCGGATGATTCCGGGATTCTGTGAAGGTGAACGCTGGGCTGCGGCGTTGCCGCTCTGGCTGCGGTTAGACTTAATCCCAGCACAGGAGAGGAGTTAAAGGCCTCAGTGCAAAAATCTTGATGCTGTTGGTGGCCAGCAAACTCCTGCTCCTCTCCCAGCCCCGTTCCTCATATCCTGCTGTCTAAACACAGCACAAAGCCCTCCTGGTGGGGCAGACGCCGCTCCTGCTGCGACAGGCATCCTTCCCCTCACCCAGAATGTCTTACCTACAACCGAGGTACCCTCTGACCATCTCCCTCTCTCCAGAGTCTGTGGAGCCCCAGATGTTCTCGAACCTGGTGCTCTCCGAGGAGAACGATGAGAGCTCCTCCATGAACTTTGACTTCTCCCACCTCTCTATGCTCCCGCACTTGGCCGACCTGGTCAGCTACAGCATACAGAAGGTGATCGGCTTTGCCAAAATGATCCCGGGATTCAGGTGAGACGTTTGCTCCCAGACGTGATGTCCATGATGGTTTTCTGCTCTCTGGAATCCCGTCGTACCCTTCACAGCCAGATCATTTTTCTCTGTTTCATCTTCACAGCCATCCCTCAGGCTCTGTTCCCTTCCCAGGTCTGTTCCGACTTTCATGTTTTCTGTCTCTCCTCCTTCCTGAGGTTACTCCTCTCCTGTCTTTACCCTGATTCACCTGTCAGCAGAACGCTTGAGCTCCTGAGATGCTCAAAGCCATGTGAGTGGTCCCCATCCTGTTTTGTGAAGGACCTTAGGTCCTGTTTAACTCGAGGCTAGTGCCTGGGACGCTGGGTGCTGCCCCTCAATAAATAGAGCTGCAGAAATACCTGCTGCTTAATCACAGACTGACAAAATCATCCGGGTTGGAAAAGCCCTTGAAGCTCCTCCAGCCTGACCATGACCCTCCCCCTGACCCTTCCCAAATCCCCCAGATCTCTCAGCGCTGGTTCAGCCTGACTCTTCAACCCCTCCAGGGATCCCGGGGACTCCCCCCCTGCCCTAGGCAGCCCATTCCAACGCCCAACAGCCCCTTCTGCACAGAAATCCTTCCTCAGAGCCAGCCTGACCCTGCCCTGGGCAGCTTGAGGCCATTCCCTCAGGGCCTGGCGCTGGCTCCTTGGCTCCAGAGACTCATCCCCCCTCTCTGCCCCCTCCTGGCAGGGAGTTGTAGAGGGAGGTTGCAGAGAGATGGGGATGAGTCTCTCAAACCAAGTAACCAGCGATAGGACAAGAGAATTGCACAGAAACCCGGGGTGAGGCAGAAGCTGGCGTGCCCCCAGCAAAGGGACTGGGTTACCGATGGAGAACCTGGCACATGGGTGGCCGGTTTCTGTGGCTTTGCTCACTGGGTGGATGTCACATCACCCTCTTCCCCCTGCCCAGGGATCTGGCAGCAGAGGACCAGATAGTCCTGCTGAAATCCAGCGCCATCGAGGTGATCATGCTGCGCTCGAACCAGTCCTTCACCCTCGAGGACATGACGTGGACCTGTGGCAGCAACGACTTCAAGTACAGGATCAGTGATGTCACCCAAGGTAAAGGCTTCCGGACACTCTCCTGGGCTAAGAAATATCATCCCAGCCTTAAATTTGGATGCAAAAATCCCGTCCTGAGCAGTGTGCAAGCAGGGACACGTGGGCAGGCTGCATGGCTTGTGACCCCCGGCCCGGCCCCTGCGCTGTGGGACGCGTGGGCCTCCTGCAGCCATACCAGGTGCCTGAGGAGGGCTGAGAACTCCTGAAGAAAAACAACATCAGAGTGTGTGCCCGTAACTCGGAGCTGTCTCCAACTCCTCTGCCTTGCCACAGGGGATGAGTTCGGTTTGCTCCGAGCTGCTGTGAGGGTTGGAAAACTGCTGTGTGGTCCCTCTGCAGCCAGGAAACCCCTCTGCTAGGAAAAGTGGTGAATCCTGCCCTGAACCTCCCCTGCTTGAGGATTTGGGGACCAACACAGAGACAGGGTGTGCAGATCATCTCCATATGGACCTTAAATCTCTCCCTGCACTTGGAAGAGACTTGGAGTAACCTGGCTGGCTCTGAGGAAGGATTTCTGTGCAGAAGGGGCTGTTGGGCGTTGGAATGGGCTGCCCAGGGCAGGGGGGGAGTCCCCGGGATCTCTGGAGGGGTTGAAGAGTCGGGCTGAGCCAGCGCTGAGGGATCTGGGGGAGTTGGGAAGGGTCAGGGGGAGGGTCGTGCTTGGGCTGGAGGAGCCTCAAAGGCTTTTCCAGCCCAGATGATTCTGGGATTCTGTGGGGATGCCGAGACCCTCGGTGCAAAGGTGAGATCCCAGGGGACCAGGCACGGGGCAGTTGACCCCCACTGAAGGCAGGAAAAAGATCTGCTTGCAGGAGAGCTCTGGGCACACAAGAGTTTGTGATGCTTGGGCAGGACACAGTGCGCCGTGGCGATAAAGAGGCAAAATATTCATAAGTTAATTGTCTTTATGGATTTCAAGAGCAAAAACTGCTCTGTAATCTCCAGCCATAGAGAAATTATTGGGGAGAAAAGTACAATTAAAAAATAAAGTTCTCTTCCCGCTGTCCTGGCTCCTTGCTGTGCCGAAAGAGGCTCTGCCGAGCTCCACGCTCGTCCCTCAGCTGTAGATCTTGTTCTTGCTCAAGGTCCTTTCTCTCCTCAGCTGGTCACAGCATGGAGCTGCTCGAGCCGCTGGTGAAGTTCCAGATTGGCTTGAAGAAGCTGAACCTTCATGAAGAAGAGCACGTCCTCCTCATGGCCATCTGCATCCTGTCCCCAGGTAGGAGCACACTCATCCCCAGAGGTCACTAACCTGTCACCTGCTTTGCTGATTAGGGCTCCCAGTTAAACTCAGACACCAGAGTGGAAAGAGCAGGTGTATTTTACTGGGGATAACTAAATACTGTAACAGCAATGCAGAAAACACGCAGTAAGAAAAGACAGAATAGCGCACTTGAAGCAAACATGTAGGAAAACACAGAGTAATGCATCAAATCGTTACTACAAGATAGAGAGAATAGCGATTAAGAAAGCTCCATCACCACTTGCACCCGTTACCAGCATCCAGACCCGCAGGCTCTGGACAGCCTTGGGTGCAGGGAGGATTTTTTTGGCATTTCCCAGCACGTGGGAAATCCTGCAGGGTGCATCCACCCATGGCTGAGGCATCCAAAGTTACTGCGAGCGGGTCCAGCCTTATATACGCCAAAAATCAGCAAGACAGAATGGCTGGCACCTTTGTTTTGAGTAGAAACATCTGGTGTCACTCTGCAATTAGATTCCCCCAGAGCCTGGCCGGGGCTTAAGGAGGAAGCTGAGGGAGTTTCCCTGCTTATCTACGTGATTTATGAGGAAGTTCACACGTCTGGTCACGAGGCCGGGGAGCTGGTTCCATGGCCCTGTCAGCTTGCCCCTGCACAAAGGATGAAGATATATTCAGAGTAGACATGTTTTATGGTATCTAAGCTACATCTTTCATTAACGAGCAAACTTGTTAACACCCCAAAAAGGCCATTGAATGACTCGAGCGTGGCCAGAGAAGGGCAACGGAGCTGGGGCAGGGTCTGGAGCACAGGTCTGCTGGGGAGCGGCTGGGGGAACTGGGGGGGTTCAGTCTGGAGAAGAGGAGGCTGAGGGGAGACCTCCTGGCC